AGTGGGTATATTACGAGATTATGGTACAAACTGGACGGTAGCATCCCAGGACTCCAAACGTTACTCGGGTTCCTCCTACTGGTAGCATCTTGTATTCATAATGCTTTCAAACAGAGTTTGAACCCCTTCATCCTTCTCCGAAAGGCTCTCCTAAAGGCTAATGGTAATAGAAGTGGAGTCAGAAGCGACCGGCGCCGGTGAAAGCTTCTAAATACTCACCATATTCGACGCCAAGCAATACTCGTAAGGATTCTTCTCTAGAAGAGACCACGTCGAGTCGAAGGTTGAAGAGCGCATCTCTGCACTGTGATGACGCCAGTATCACCTCCATTGTCTGTTCTTCGGAGGCGAAGCCATCTCTACTCGATGGGAGACCCAGTTGAAGAGAGCCTTCCCACAATCCGATTGAGAAATTTGTGAGTTCAGAGGGAAGCGAGACGGGGTGCATACGAGCACGATGAGAGTGATTAGAAAAGGGTCAGAAAGGTGGGACTTGAACGATTGCTCGCAGGATGAAGATCAGTCGACCAATAGTCGACTATCACGTCACCAGAACTATGTTTGGCCAATTGAGTGAAGCTTTAGATGATAGAAATCAGCATCCTAAAGACAGAAATGTCCATATTTGGCTTACGAGGCGGAGGGGTGCCTCCCGAGGGACTTGTTTGTCCATAGGGACCGTCATTAACAGATAAAGTACGAGGCGATCAATGAACGGAATTCAAAGTCCAGATTGAGCCAGATACTTGGGTTCGGCCAAACCGAACGTGGCCGAATAGGGAGTTGTTGATGGTCCCTGTTTAATAGGCGCATGGCACACGTCAATTTGGCCATAGAGCGCTGATAGATCGGTTGTAGACGCATTTTAGGGCTTCTGGTCCAATAGACTACTTGTGGGCATGCGGCATGCCTTGTATTCAGAGAAGATGAGCCAGTATGATAGGGGCGGAATTTGATCGAGTCATCCACAGGCACTTCTTATGTGCGCATTCTGTAGTGCAAAGTGCTGTGTTTGTCACTATAGAAGCAGCTCTTGGTAGGCAATGTTGCCATATGCTCGTTTCGTCTTTATACAGTTAATGCATAACCCTAGAAAGTAAACCAGTTCGTGTTAGTATATTTACACTAGGTTCTGTTTCCAATACAGATTCGAAATGAAAAGGTGGCGGACCTACGTGACATGTGGCATCCAGACACTTTTGTAGGCTATCCGCTCGTGGCAATCCGAATAGCAATAGAATGTCCAAGTCCATTTACTCGTTTTGCGACAGCTGAAGATGCTTAGACAGAGTCTCGTCAACATGGAATAAAAGGTCTATCGGCTCTGTGGACCGCGAACGCTGCAAACTGCTTGAAAAACCGTGACAATCGACGAGTGATAGTTCTACGTTGATCTCTGTCTAGCGCAAAAGTGGCATTGTTAGCTTGGCTCCATCGAGTTGCGATACTCGGCATCCACCAAATTCTAACTGGCCGATGAACGTTGAGATCATTTTGCACTCGTTTTCTCCCGAAAATCTTCCTGTACTTGTATACTGGTTTGCAGAGTTGTATCTTCTTGATTTCTTTGATTTGTAGCACTGGATGTGGATATTTGGGAGGGTGGACGCATTCCAAAAGGGATGGCGCCTAGCCAGGGCCCAGCGCGCTCTCTCTTTTGGTCTCCGAGTCTCCGTGTGCTCGTTGGCTACCTTCTCTTCTCCTTCTCGTCTGCTAGAATCTCCAAAATCTGGGATAAATTCGACTATAATCGCAAAGAATAATACGAGCCCATCGACTGCATCGACGCGACTCGCTCAACTCGCTTGCGCCAGCCGGACTCTTTCACTTCGCACCCGCTTTTCGACTCGTCGTTCTCTAAACCTACATCGAGTAGAGCAGAACAGACGGAAAGGCTAGAATATACTTCTCATCTACTCCTTTACGCATTGGCTACGTTCACAACGACACCCCCGACCACGACCACCAATGAACCTTTGCACACGGGCGCTATGACAATTCTCGTCGGTCAGGAAGGGTCGCAGTCACGAGCAAAGAAAAAGCGAGACGGCGTAGATGGGCAGGTTCTATCGCTGTCGCGAAAAGGAGACGGTTTTCACGATGTGTGAGTTTCTACGATCACATTTTGGGCCCATACCCCAGCCTCAGGGTTTTAACCGTGCATCACGATGCTAACGTACATTAACCGTCCAGCTTCTACACCCTTGACCTAGTTCTGGGAGATTCTGGTAAAACTTACCCAGTCTTATTAGACACGGGTTCAAGCGACTTGGTATGTCCGAACCCTGCTCCAGATCTTTGCCTTGCTTACTGCTCACGCCGACTTTTTGCTCCTCATTTTATTTCTATAATTAC